TATAAACGTTCTATATTAATTCTATTAGGTTTGGGGGATAAAGCGCTCCCCCCCCCCCCACAAAAAAAAAATATAAATGTTCTATATTAATTCTATTAGGTTTGGGGGATAAAGCGCTCCCCCCCCCCCCAAATATAAATGTTCTATATTAATTCTATTAGGTTTGGGGGATAAAGCGCTCCCCCCCCCCCCAATACAAATGTTCTATATTAATTCTATTAGGTTTGGGGGATAAAGCGCTCCCCCCAAATATAAATGTTCTATATTAATTCTATTAGGTTTGGGGGATAAAGCGCTCCCCCCCCCCCAAAATATAAATGTTCTATATTAAATCTATTAGGTTTGGGGGATAAAAGCGCTCCCCCCCCCAAATATAAATGTTCTATATTAAATCTATTAGTTTTGGGGATAAAGCGTTCCCCCCCCCCCAAAATATAAATGTTCTATATTAATTCTATTAGGTTTGGGGGATAAAGCGCTCCCCCCCCCCAAAAAAAAAATATAAATGTTCTATATTAATTCTATTAGGTTTGGGGGATAAAGCGCCCCCCCCCCAATATAAATGTTCTATATTAATTCTATTAGGTTTGGGGGATAAAGCGCTCCCCCCCCCCCCAATACAAATGTTCTATATTAATTCTATTAGGTTTGGGGATAAAGCGCTCCAACCAAATATAATGTTCTATATTAATTCTATTAGGTTTGGGGGATAAAGCGCTCCCCCCCCCCAAAATATAATGTTCTATATTAATTCTATTAGGTTTGGGGGATAAAGCGCTCCCCCCCCCCCAAAAAAAAATATAAATGTTCTATATTAAATCTATTAGGTTTGGGGGATAAAGCGCTCCCCCCTACCCCAAATATAAATGTTCTATATTAAATCTATTAAGTTTGGGGGATAAAGCGCTCCCCCCCCCAAATATAAATGTTCTATATTAATTCTATTAGTTTTGGGGATAAAGCGCTCCCCCCCCCCCCCTTAAATATAAATGTTCTATATTAAATCTATTAGTTTTGGGGGGATAAAGCGCTCCCCCCAAATATAAATGTTCTATATTAAATCTATTAGTTTTGGGGGATAAAGCGCTCCCCCCCCCCCCCCAAAAAAAAATATAAATGTTCTATATTAAATCTATTAGGTTTGGGGGATAAAGCGCTCCCCCCCCCCCCCCCAAATATAAATGTTCTATATTAATTCTATTAGTTTTGGGGATAAAGCGCTCCCCCCCCCCCCAAATATAAATGTTCTATATTAATTCTATTAGGTTTGGGGGATAAAGCGCTCCCCCCAAATATAAATGTTCTATATTAATTCTATTAGGTTTGGGGGATAAAGCGCTCTCCCCCCCCCCCCCAAATATAAATGCTCTATATTAAATCTATTAGGTTTGGGGATAAAGCGCTCTCCCCCCCCCCCCCAAATATAATGTTCTATATTAAATCTATTAGGTTTGGGGGATAAAGCGCTCCCCCCTCCCCAAATATAAATGTTCTATATTAAATCTATTAGGTTTGGGGGATAAAGCGCTCCCCCCCTCCCCCAAATATAAATGTTCTATATTAATTCTATTAGGTTTGGGGGATAAAGCGCTCCCCCCCCCCCCAAAAAAAATATAAATGTTCTATATTAATTCTATTAGGTTTGGGGGATAAAGCGCTCCCCCCCCCCCACCCAAATATAAATGTTCTATATTAATTCTATTAGTTTTGGGGATAAAGCGCTCCCCCCCCCCCCAAATATAAATGTTCTATATTAATTCTATTAGTTTTGGGGATAAAGCGCTCCCCCCCCCCCCCCCACAAATATAAATGTTGTATATTAAATCTATTAGTTTTGGGGATAAAGCGCTCCCCCCCCCCAAATATAAATGTTCTATATTAATTCTATTAGGTTTGGGGGATAAAGCGCTCCCCCCCCCCCAAAATATAAATGTTCTATATTAATTCTATTAGTTTTGGGGATAAAGCGCTCCCCCCCCCCCCCCAAATATAAATGTTCTATATTAATTCTATTAGAATTGGGGGATAAAGCGCTCTCCCCCCCCCCCCCCCAAATATAAATGTTCTATATTAAATCTATTAGGTTTGGGGGATAAAGCGCTCCCCCCCCCCAAATATAAATGTTCTATATTAATTCTATTAGGTTTGGGGGATAAAGCGCTCCCCCCCCCCAAAAAAAATATAAATGTTCTATATCAATTCTATTAGTTTTGGGGATAAAGCGCTCCCCCCCCCCCCCCCCAAATATAAATGTTCTATATTAATACTATTAGTTTTGGGGATAAAGCGCTCCCCCCCCCCCCACAAATATAAATGTTGTATATTAAATCTATTAGTTTTGGGGATAAAGCGCTCCCCCCCCAAATATAAATGTTCTATATTAATTCTATTAGGTTTGGGGGATAAAGCGCTCCCCCCCCCCCCAATATAAATGTTCTATATTAATTCTATTAGGTTTGGGGGATAAAGCGCTCCCCCCCCCCCCCCCCAATACAAATGTTCTATATTAATTCTATTAGGTTTGGGGGATAAAGCGCTCCCCCCCCCCAAATATAAATGTTCTATATTAATTCTATTAGGTTTGGGGGATAAAGCGCTCCCCCCCCCCCCCAATACAAATGTTCTATATTAATTCTATTAGGTTTGGGGGATAAAGCGCTCCCCCCCCCCCAAATATAAATGTTCTATATTAATTCTATTAGGTTTGGGGGATAAAGCGCTCCCCCCAAATATAAATGGTCTATATTAATTCTATTAGGTTTGGGGGATAAAAAGCTCCCCCCCCCCCCGCTCGAAGAGATGCCTTAAAGAAACTCTGCATGCAGACCACTTTTAAAATTAGACAAATAAATTGGGTGTGTCTCTTTATTACCAATTATCGATGACGCCATTATTATTGTGTGGTTTTTTTTTCTGGCATTGGATTTTATTGTGTGTACGTTTCCGACTTTTGAACAGTACGTGTTTCGTTTCGTTTTGATAAATTGCTATATGTTTAGTGTGACGTCACTGTAGTTCCATGTAAAACTTTTTATTTTCCCTGTGTTTTCTCTACAGGGTTCCATTCAGACACACAGACAGAATAGCAAACTATTATAGTGACTAGATAAATGACCCCTTGAAGGAGAAATATAACGGGCGCTAGGTTGATAGTGCTTTTCTTTTATAAAACGAAACCAAAACCAAAATCAATACCACAACATCAAACTTAACTGGATGCGAAAAATGTCATTGATAACGGATTTTTATCTAGAATCGGCATTTTAACCGGATTTAACTTTAACCTACACGTATTTACTGCACATTCATAATAAACATCGTCTTAGTCATACACCTAAACCTTGCACCTAAGCTGAAACTTGACGAAAGTCGCATTCAGAGTTTCTTTCACGCAACACTTCGTAACGAAATAGAATTGATATAGAAAATATACTTTTAACAGTTTCCGCCCTCCTTCCCCGGAAAATTTTGGGCGGGGGGGGGGGGGGTAAATATTTTTTGGGAGGGCGGAATAAATTCTACAGGGGGGGGGGGGGGGGCTGACACTGGTAAAAGTATATATTTTCTATATAAATTGTACTTCGTTCGCCCCCTCCCCCAACACCCAAATAGATGCCTAAAAGAAACACTACTTTCTAATGTTAGTGTATGTATTATCAAGAAACGATGACGTCATTTATTTTTTTTTTCGGCAATGGCTTTAATTCTATGTTTATTCTAGAATCAATAATATCATATTATTGTGTGTGCTTTTCTGGCTAAAGAACTGAACATATTTCGTTTCGTTTTGAAAATGTCCTATTTCGTGAATATTTCTGATGTAACGTACATATTGCAGGCACCACAAATGGTTGAGACAACGTGAATATTGCAGGTAACAAAAATGGTTGAGACAACGTGAATATTGCAGGTATCACAAATGTCATTGGACGAGAGAACAGCTAAAGTCAGCATGAATAATAATGATGTCCATAGGGATGTCAAATTTAGAATGTAGTAATAAGAATGTAATACCGTTTATCATTAGAACTGCTGTAGTCAGAAAGAACTAAATATGATGTAATCATGTTTATTACTAGTATTGCTTTAGTTGACATGTATAATAAAAATAATAATGTGAAAACGATTATCACTAGTATTCTTGAAGTTAAAAATTACTGTGTTACTATTGGCAAAATTTGTTTGAATCACGTCTCCGTTGATGTAACATAGTCTTTCGTTCAAAAAAGGCTACACCTTAACATTAGAACACTACAATGATCTCGGCGTTTGTATCTTTCCACGGATATAAAATCATCATAAACGTATTTAAACAATGCTCCTTTAATGGCAAATACATGTGTATTCGTTGCTAAATAAATGATGTCCCATATAGTGTCCCTCACTATCGCGATAAGTTTTTTTAATGAAACCAATCCATTTTATCTAGATTTAATTGGGATGGAAGTTCAAGAGAGACATGACTAGATTATGTTCCTTAAGATAGCTACCATGAATATGTTTAAAGTCTCTTTGTCATTCGTCACGTTATTCTCACACAACTTACCAAGCGTACATGCTATTTCCCAGTTTTCTCTGCCCCCATTTCCACTACTATTTACTGGGTTTTTTTTTCTATTTCAACACTACTGAAATTACACTCGGGAATTTGGACCAATCTCCTTCAGTTACAGCCATATTTGAAGAGGGCATCTCAAGAGACAACACGCTTATTTGCTTCACAGATAACAAAGAAAAGTCGCCCAGAGAGAAAATCAGCTGAGTAAAATAAACCATTCTAATCTTGGGGCGTAAATCTATCGAATCAAAGGATCATCTGGAAATGGGGGGGGGGGGGGGGGGGAGTGTGAAAAGTTTGGCTTTCCATGCGATCACAGTGCAGTGACATCAAATCTGCGGTTAGGTAGGAATAATCTTTTCTTGCTAAGAAAAACATACTTTTATTTTTTTAAAAAAAGGATACTGTATTTTTAAAAAAAAAATAACGTAAGGCAGCTCACTTGAATTTGAAAGTTCCATTTTCATATTCGAAAAATGGTACTGTATATGTCATCATCCAAATATTTCCGCCTCCACAGTCGAAATAGGGCACGCTCCAGTGGCCATCATCATACGTCACAACGATGGTCGAGTCCTCTTCGGCAGCAGTTAGTGTTGTGTCATTGTACCGCCACTGTACCGCTCCTGAAATAATTAAATGCCACATCATAGATCCTAATTAGATTTATTACTCGGACCAAGGATAGTTATTATCTTCTACACATATGTTTGGTGTAGATATCATCCCCACACACATAACCACCCCACCCCCATATATATATATATATATATATATATATATATATATATATATATATATATATATATATATATATGACTATATATATATATATATATATACATAGATGATATACATATATATAGGCATATATAAAAAACATTCAGGTGTTTTTTATCAAGCCTAAAAATTATTGTGATGACAAACATCTAAGGTTGTGACTACCGGTAATACTACAACCATCTTAGAATATCTCGGTACAAGAGTTCTGCCTGAACAAGAAAAAAATTAAAATGGATTTATCTTGTCAGCGATGTGGGGAGACTCAGGTTTGGTCCTAGCACAGCATTCAGAGACATTATGTGATCGATAGGTATTTGCTGCTATCTGAGTGATCTAACTGAATGATCTGAGTTACATGACCGCGTTATCCGATCTGACTCACATATATGTACGTATATATATATATATATATATATATATATATATATATATATATATATATATATATATATATATATATATATATATAACATAATTTTTTATCAGCTGTTATTTAGTTCACATTGTCTGTTTATTTGTTGTTGTTTTTTGTTGTTGTTGTTGTTGTTGCTTTTTAGTAAATAAATATATCTGTTTTATTTAAACTTTCCAGGTACATTCGACCTCTTCGACCATGTCAGAATATGTAATTTCAATCTAATCTAATTAGTCAATTAATAAGAGGACTACAAAATTCATCAAATAAAGTGAGACATTTTGCTTAAATACAGTGATCGCTATATAACTTGGCCGTCGTTAACGAACTGGGTTTTTTTCCCCACGTCTTACTGATTTTGCGCATGAGCGACGACCATCATCATTGAAAACAGCCATCATCATCGAATAATTGATTTAGATTTGTTCCTAAATTTAGCAATTTTAAAAGCCAAATTTTAGGACTAATTGTCTAAATAAAAATTGAAATCTTGCATTGTCATCGAAGAAGAAGGAATTTGGAATGTTTGGACGAAATTGTTGCTTTAGAAGAGGGTCAAAATTAAGTTACAACATTCGCCGAATCGCATAGACGTTAGGAAATATGTAAAAGCTTTTAAAAATAAATATACAGTTTTATGATACTAATCTTTTAAATGCACTAAAATTAAATAAGCAAACATAATTGGTTGCTGAAATATTTAAGAGATCTAATGCGTGTCCAAAGCTTTAATTAAAGAAAGCAAATTAGTTTTATTTTCTTATATCAGTGTATATAGAAAGTTATTATTATGCTTTTTATATTTACTTTACAACCAAACAGTGTAAGTAAACATTAAACAGTAAGAAGATAAAAGGGCATTTGAAAAAGTCATTTCACGAAAAGTTTTTAATATTTGAGATTTTTTCTTAAATATAGGGTGTTGAAGTGGAGTCCAAATGGAGTCTTTCCGGTTGGCGTATTTTTAAACCAAATCTGAATATTTTTTATTAAATCTTTTTTTTAAGTTAGGAAAGTTACTTTTTGCTTTTGGCTTCAAAACAAACTCAAGTTTTAGAATCAGAATATCATTAATTGAAAGTGAGTGAATGATTAATGTCAAACATTTTCAAAAATTAAATAACACATTGAACTAATAGAAAAGAAAAGTAACAGTTGCGCCGAAAAACGTAATTTGTGCAATTCGTTGAAAGAAAAAAAAGTTGGTTTGAATGTCGTGTTGTTCATCCATTCAATAGCTACTACAGTTCTCTGAGCGGAATGTTTAAAAACACTTCCAAATTTCCTCAACAAAAGTCTAATCAACAAGAGAAATAAGCTCCTATTTTAAATGAGATGCTAATTCTATTGCTGGCAAAGAGTAATCTAAATTTGCGTGTTACAAAGCTTTCTTGCGTGATACAAGGGATAAAACTCTGCTACAGCACATTTTGATGGGTAACACAACTCTAGCTGCAATTTGTCGCTGGAAAATTTGAAAGTAGCTGGCGCAATTACATTCATAATTACCTTATATTAATTATATTTAATGAGAAACATAATTAACACATAACCTATACTTAACCATAACCCACACATAAACTACACCTAAAATTACACCTACACTACACTTAATCTGTGTTTACATATGCAATCGCATGACGAACACACACACACGTACACGTACATGGGTACATGTACATTATATGTACACAAAGATGCAGATGTACGCATACACATGACATACACATAACACACGTATACGTACGTACACGTAAACAGTTAATCTCAAGAAACGTAACTCAGACAACATAAGATAGTACCTGTGGAGGTGGGTATAGACAGAGACAGAGATAAAGACAGGGATAGAGAAAGAGAAAGACATAGAAATGGATATAGATATAGAAAAATAAATAAAGAAAGACATAGAGACAAAGATATAGACAGAGACAGACATAGACAAAGAGTTAGAAAAAGTGAAAAAGAGCTAGAAAGAGATTAAGAAAGAGATAGAGGCAGAGGTAGAGGCAGATGCAGTATTGATTGTGTGTATAAAAGAACCGAAATATTTTATGTTTATACAATATCTTACGGCTAAGTATTTAAAGTATATGCGAAACTTGAAATCTGTTTGATATTTCAAGACATTAGTAGCTACAGCACATGAGAATATTTTATTCATCCAACCAGCGGCCTAACAGATCAGCTTGGACCAGTGGACATTAAAAGATCTGGGGCCCCTTATACGAGAGATGTACGCAGGTTTTTGAGGTTATATATATATATATATATATATATATATATATATATATATATATATATATATATATATATATATATATATATATATATATATATATATATGGGTCTACGACCCAACACAAAAAAAAAAACAAAAAACCAAAACAGATCACTCAAAACAAAAACAAAACATAACACTGAAAACAGCGAAAAACACTCAACACGCAAACAATGATTTTCTTATCCTACTAAAATAAATATGTTGTTCACTTGTTATATTGCGAAAAAAGTAAGGGGATACAATGACACTATCTAATACAGATCCGTTCACATGTTTATGTTATTAAAATTCTATTTTGTTATAGAATTTTCGTCAAAAATTATTATATTAAATAGTTATTAGTAGTTTGTTTTGCAAATAAAGTCTGTATTTCTCAATTTAAAAAATTTTATGATGATCTATCTATATACTACTAACAGCGAAAAGTTTGTATGTTTATTTTTTTATCTTTAGTTTTTGTATGTTTGTTCTGTTAGATAAGAGCATCTACACTATGTGTAAATACGTATTTTAGGTAGAGAAATTGTTCTTTTTCACCCAAATTTTATACACAAATTTATTTGAAGATAGTATTTGAATTACTGATATATTTATTTGTAAAAACATCTCTTTAAAAGGCCTGAAAAGTCTATGTAATCATACTAAATTTTAATAATCTTTTAAAACTTATATGGCAAGAGATAAAATAATAGTTACATTTTAAAAATTTTAAGCTCTTTGGGAACCATCTATTACACTCATTTTCATACTTTTGTATTGAATATAAGCCGTTAAAACCCGTTTAGAATTATTTTATCAATTCAAATATTGAAAAGAACGATCTCAACCTCTCCTTGAAGTCATCAGGAATGGCCAGGGAGAGTAAATCGATGAAAGTCAGAACAATTGCTTTCAATGATAAAATACATAATAGTGGTCAATGTTGTATAGCCTAATATTGGATTTATATTTAATAATATAACATCCCCTATCACCACAACACACTGACTCTACTAATCCAAACTAAAACTAAAAGTGTTTGCTAAATTACTATTATATTACTAGTGGGTCTGTTAAAAACACTAAATTTAATGCCTCAAAATTCCTCAACATGTATTTTTTTAACGGACCCAAAATTTGAAAATTCAAAAAAAAATTAGTTTGAAGATATGCACTTAAAATTGTTAGCTGAGTACTCCAAAATGTAGTAGAAGATTATGAATTCATTGTTTATTGGGCTTAGAATATTATATTTTTTGAATGGTGGAAATCCTACGAAAGTGTTAATTTTTCAAAATGTCCGCATTTGACATAGTTACATAGATATTATACCAATTTTTAGCTGTAGAGAAATAATTGTTTCCTAACAAGTATTAAAAAAGATTTATTTTACCCCCTTAACAGTATCGCTAGGTCAGAAAATCTGCAATATGTGTAGAACTTTAGAAATTCAAATTTAACTTAAAAACATACAATCTACTATACAAACAAAGAAAAACTTAATCAATGCTAAAAGAGCCGCCGAAGAGAGAGAAAGTACAATGTGAATGAAATGCATCAAAATAAAAGAGACCATCAGGATAGCATTCTGATTTGGTCGGCCAAAAAAATTAAACAAAACAACTTACCGAAACAGTTAAAGAAATATATCAGTTAGGACATTTTCTATGGTGTTTTGTTAAATATAAATATATATTTTGGATATTTTTCGTGATAATAAAAAAATTTGATGAGTGGAAGTTACCGCTAAGCCACAGCCCCACCCCCCCCCTCAAAGTCGACTTTCTTCATTTGCGGTGAGGATGCTTTATTGATGTGGGGTGCAGTGTTTCTTTCAGACGTCTTCCTCTGAGCTGGGGAAATGGCAAATGGCAATGGGGTGGAGACTTTGTGGGAAATTGGTTTGTGTTGTGCAGTGCAGCCGACAGACCGTTTTCCAAAAGGAAAAGGGGTCGTCTTGTTAAAAAATTTACTTTGTCTGCACTGTCTGCTTATTGTTGCGTTTTTAAGATTATTTTATTATTATTTTTAAATATGAGCAATATCAGAGTACTGTTTACACTTCTCTTTTCAATACGGATAATTTCAAAAACAATTTGTCCTCCCAATTTTTATGTTAAGTTTTCCCTTTAAGCCAATGCCCCAATCACAGATTAAAAGAAAGCAGG